GACAGCTGCCTGCCCTCCATGGTCCGATTCCTACCCTTATAACGGTATAGCGATTGGGACATCGTCCACCTCGGCGACATAACGCCTAAGTAAATGGCCCGGAAAGCCCGGCATTTACGCATTTAAAACAAAGCGTGGATGCGGACAGTTTCGGACGGGCTGCGCATCGGTGCAAATCCGTTCACTCTTCATTGGGTGAATTGTTGCATTCACAAATTTTCACATTGCGTCGGCAGCATGTCTCCCCGCGGAGCAATTTTCCCTATGGTAATATACCATGAACTGAACCGGCGTCGTGCAAGCCAAGATAAATATACCTTCGCGCTGATCTTGGCAGTCCAGTTTGACGTCACGGGTGAGGGGGCTGACATTTGTAAAATCCCCAGTCTACAAGCACTTCATTCGCGTCGCGAGCATTTCGGCCGTTCCGGATTCCGGCGGGTGCTAATGTACATGAACGATGGCGCGTCGCGCGGGGTTGGTACTACCCACCGTTATACTGTCCAAGATAATTTTCTTCGGCTGTGTCTAAAAAAAACGTTCAGGGAAACGACCCGTATCAGTAATAATATCTAATTATTATTATTAAATATCCTATGCGAGATACTGAGATGGACTGAAGAAAAACTGCATAATATAGCTTGCTGAGGGACGAGGGAGAGAGAGAGAGAGACAGAAGTGTAGTGAGACTGAGAAAAGCCAGTAGGAAGATAGCTGATAGGCGGGCCGGCCGTAACAGAAGCAGGAGGTTAAGCAGGGACAAGGGGGCGGGGCAAGGGGAAGACGGTGTGGTAGAAGTAGGTGTTTTGCACGATCTATATGAATAGTCCCCATAGAATAACGCGCTGTCTATAAGAATCACTTACAAGGTCAATGGCGAGATGATGGAAGATCTTATCGATAACACATCATTGTTAGCGCATGAACTGCGCCGATGGTCAGGGGAAAGAGGCGGCTCAATGAATAATATTTTCGGCCATTGGATGCAAGCGCGTGGGCAGGAGAGGTTTAAGGGAGGCCACTGGGGCCGTCTGCGCCGTCTGGTGCGGCTGCACGTTCTCTTGCTGCATCTCACGATCGATTCCATCGCAACCATCGCATCGTCTCAATCGACCTGAGATTTCTTTCTCTTCACACACACACCTTCGATCCCGTCTATGATAATCTATATCTGCTATAGTATCTAGTCTATCATATCTATTCTTCA